TGTGGCAATGTTCCAGAATGACTTGCAGTAGACACGTTCCTTGGGTGACGTGCAGTTAAGAAAGCAAACAGTCCGTACACATGCACCTTCATCTATACCAGTAGTAGCCCTGTTGAAAAAGCTTAAACTACCTCTCTCAAAATCGGGTGCATCTCTGTAAAAAAACAAATTGTTCATTTGTTATAGCAGTTATTTCCACGCCGGGGAGTGGGGTTAACATAGTTTCATCTTCATAAACTCTTACTTTAAGGCAGCACATCTTTCACGGAGTTACAATATCGTAAATGTTGCTTTCAGGTAGTTCAGTAATGTCGAAAGTATTGACTTTGATATTTCCAACAAGAAATGTACGTGATTCAACATCACTTCGTTTACGACTCTCAGATGATACTCGAAGTTTGCCAATATCTTCCCATTCACCTGACTGGTGTGGCAAATCTTCTAATGATGGATCTATATTAGTTTTCTCAGCATCTATGAATAAATCCATATCTCTTTCAACTCGCAGTGGGTTGTCGTTTTCGTCACTGAATTGCGTTGTGAACATTCCGTATGTTTGTAGTGGCACTTCATTACCCTCAACGTCCCGTGTTGTAAGGTCACGCTGTATGGTGTCAATTACAGCCTCTGCGATTGAATCTGTAAATGTTATACTACCTTTAACATTCCCTTCATACACAGAGCCATCTTCGCGGTGAAAAGCACCTGCTGGTATATCAAGTTCTATAGATGGATTTACTTCTGAGCCGCCAAGGGGAATACTTGATTTTTTGCTCGCATTAACGGTTATAGAAGGGCACGTATCTGAAGTGCTATGGTATGATAAGTCGTAGTGTCATCTTCAAGAATAAATATCACTGTCTTACATCTCAAATTTGAATTCACCTTCGCTGTTTGTTTGCGCAGTTGCAACTTTTTCACTGAGATGTTTCGCAGCTTAGAGAGGCAATCTATCAACAGAGGAGACAACACGACCTCTAACCTTAACTTGTTGTTTCAGGCATGGACCAC